AACGTACGTTCCAAAAGGGGTGTGGCCATCTGGGGCGGGGCTTCCAACGATGTATACGGTGTGCAGCGGGTAGCGTAGTGGGGGAGGGAGAACACAACGAAAATTGTCTTGCGGAAGAATCCCATCAAAATGACCGATTTCTCGAAAAAAGTTTCATAAAATAAGGTACTGGTACTGGCAAAATAGGTTCGCATACCAGTATGTTACCAGTTGTGATATGAATAGGAACCAATCGTTTTTCGCAAAAAAAGGCATTTGCATTTCGTGGTGAATGGCTGGCTCCCTATCATGCCAGTGAGATGTCATAACAGGCAGTCACACAGCGAAACGTACACTCCAAATCCCAAAATTAGAGTGGGCGTGGCTGCGTACTTCGTTTGAACCTGGCATAAGACGCATTTGTGAGGGAATCTTTCCATTTGGGGCAACTGTCACACTGTCCTCTGTCGGACAAGGGCATCTCAAAATGGCAATATCCCACCAGAAATCGCAATCTTCTCTACTTTAAAATGAAGGACATCGCCACGCCCTCTCCATTTTCGGGATATGAGCTGTAACGGATCCAGATTAGCACCCGAGCGACACATATAAAACGGAGAAAAGGACCTTGGGGCTCTCATGACCCACACCTTGGTCAGTCCCAGAGTGCACAGACCTCATCAAAACTCCACAGAGACGGCTGTGGAGTCACTTACAACTCCATCGGCGAGACGTCCCATTTGTCAAAGCAAAAGATCGAGCAATGCAGAACCGTAAAGAGAGAGAAAATGAAAATCAAAACGTTATCGACAAACGTTTGACGAACGTCTCATTTCGCTGTTACATCGACGGGGGATAATGTATCGATGATGGTGGCGGTTTTCCTGAACAAACATCGACTTGATTTCAGATTCTCGCACCTGCACATCGCGGCCAAGCACGCTTGCGCTTGACGAACCGGTTTTATTGTAGCATAGCATGCTAAACTGACAACCGTTAACACCATCTATCATTTAATCACCTGGAAAGCTATTTGCATCTCGTGCGAACTACAGCCGCTTCTCACATATGGAAAAAGAAGTGTCTACTGAAAAAAGAAGAGCGCTACATGCTTTGGGAGGGGCCAGTCTGCAACAGAATACAACATCGTCGGGAGGATCCCACACAGGGCACGTCCTGCTTATGCGGAAAAATTTTGCCAACTGCAACCCCTCCCCCTCTTTCTTTCTCTGGTATGACCCCCTCCGCGATTCCCTCCCCCCTTCCTCCTACCTACCTCTTCCTGAATGCGCTTCAACTTTCTAGCATTTCTCCAAAAGAATTCTTCTCTTGTCGTACTTGCCTTTTCTCAGCCGAGTGAAATTCTTCCAAAAGTTGTCGACTTTCCTCGGTTGTCCCACTTTGCTCGCTCTACGCCCCTCCCACACTCCCTAGCCTACTGCACTACTATTTGTGATAGCTGCAATTAGTAGCTGATCGGTAACTAAACCTCCCCCACCCCGCCTGCTCGAAGGCAGGTTTTTTGAGGAAAACTAGCAAATATCCTTGGAAGAGTGGGAGTTAGGAAAAGTTAGGAAATTTGGTAACATACTGGACATACTGGGTAGGGTGCAATGGCGCCCAAACCAGATGAAGAGGTCTGGGAGCAGGGGGAGGGGGTTACTGACACCCATTTGCCACACACGATACTGTATTCTGTTGTAATATTGCGTGAACGCTCAAGCAGCTACGACCTGAGATAGGATGGAGGGCAGATGGGGGATTAGCTCCAGGGTTAGTGAGCCACCTAGCACATTCCACCTTATCACTAATGATAAGTACTTTTAGCGCTGACGCAAAACGACGGAAGATGGCACCTTTCCCCCCCCCCAAGCACGTGCATAGGGGGAAGAAGAAGCTCCAGTATAAAAGAGCATTCCAGTTGGAAACAGCTGGTTCTCAGCATTTACAAAACCAATCGTGCAAAACTGGGATTATCGTAGTCCGACGAACTATTGTAGCAAAATGCCGCGGCATTTTGCACTGACGCCAAATATACAAAAAATCAATAAATACGAAAACAGCGGGACCGAAATATATAATACATTTTTGACGCATTTCAAATCTTTTACCGTCATCGACAGGGATTACGGTAATCCGACGAACTTTCGCACAAAAATGCCCTAGGATGTTGGACTAGAGCCAAAGAGACAAAAAAAGTGGGAAGAATCATGAAAACAAAGGAAACGAAGATATTACACGACCTTGATACATTCCGAAACGTAACCAGTTCGCTGATAAGGCGCTCTTGAGCGCGCTGAGTGAGTACAAGAAGTTTGAGAAGTTCAGGCTATACCAACAATAAAAAATGAGAAAGGTTCAAAGAGTTCTACTGGTACTTTGTTGCCCACGCATTTGCAGCTTAAAGAACCAGAAGAGTTTGAAAGCATTCCTGTGGCTTTAGCTGACAAAGAACAGCTATACAAGGCGCTATTCCGTCTGGAGAGGCGAGGAGGGGGGGGGGCGTTTTCTTCAAATCCTGTCAAAGTGGCAAGCCATATTGTTCAAACCTGTAAACACTTGTAAAGCAAAGTTTTACCACAGGCTCTATTTTCGCGCCGATTGAGCTCTTTCGCGAGCTGGGGAAATTAAGAACAGGAAAGTGGTGAAAAACGATTGAGAGCCATGAAGATGAGGATTTCAGCCCAAACTTACGGCAAGCATCCCCACGGCGTACAAACCACTACTGGCAAAAAGTGGTTCGAAAAGGAAATTCGTAACATTTCGTAGCTTTACAGGAGTTTACAATACTTTACAAAATGTCTCCCCGACCCGCTTCAACCGAGCAGTGTTACATAAAAAACATAGAAGCTGAGAATAAAGGCGTGCTGTTTGGCGACGGGAAAGGGCATTTTACACTTCTGCTACTTCCCATCGATGTGTTAAACCATCTAGAGAGCTATTTCATGAGCTTGAGCTGACCGGTTTCATCGACGAGCTTCCTTCAGCTTCACAAGAGTTCACGGGTCTTACTAGAGTAAGACTTGTAAACCGGAACGAGGTAGCGAAAGTGCGAAATGCCCCCCCCCGTCACCGAACAGCGTCAATCAAACAATCACAAAAATGGTCAAAAGGCAGATAAAATGCAATAGAGCAAGTCCAGCAGACAAGGAAACAGCGGCGTATCTTCGCACACCAATCCATTTGTTACACGATTGACCTTGCAGCTGCTCGGGCGAGACCACATACCTCACAGCTGTAGCAAAGGAACGCCAGCGGCGGCAGCGGGTGGTTGGTGTGAGTTGTCGGATGGTAGCGGTGATGGCTGGCTGGTCGCAGCTCCTTCTCTCCTCTTCTCGCGGCTGTATCGCCTAGCGCCGCCGCAGCCGCTAGACGGAGCAGTCGCTTTCACCCATCACCCCACTCTCTCTCGCATTTCTTTGACACTCTCTTGAATGCTATTACAAAACAAAAGAACATCACATTACACACAACCCTATACCGCTACCAAAACTGTCATCGAAATGAACTTCTTCATTACCGCACCCACTCCCCCTTCAGTCCCATCTAAGACGGCAATGCAAATTCGCCTTTCAATTAGCAGGCATCGACGACGGGTTTTCCATCGATAATACGCTCACTCGGTAATTCAGCCGAATGAAAGAAAAGCTACTCCGAATTAACATCACAGGCAAGAAAAGACGTCAAAATTAATGAGATACACAGCTCCCGGGGATTCTTGCCAGTGTTTTCGCAGTGCGCAAAATAACAGCGGTATCACAGGCGGTGGAAAAAAGCTGTTGCCAATGCAAACACTCTGTAATGCAACCCTCAACAACAACAGAGTACTCGACGCTAACGGATTTCAGAATGGGGGGGGGTACATTACAGCTCCTCTGTGCCCCTTTCCTAATCAAGGCTTAGTCTCAGAGCACAGACACTTAGTGTACAGACAAGAGACAAGAGGCAAGTCTCGTAGGCACTACCTGCTCTGCGGAATTCGTCACGAGCTACCATCGTAGGGCAGATTCTCTGAGACCCTTGCCGTCTGTGCTCTAGGCCTAGGCCACGGTTAGGGGAACGGAAACACAAGCGCTGCTGATTGCCCCCCCCCTCACCCTGATTAGATTCGCCACGAATACTCACTCTTGCGACCCTAATATACGATGTTTTTTCTTAGTTACTGGGTTCTTCGCTTCCTTGCCACCAGAAATTTCCGATTCGGCAGCTCTGTCCCTTCCCCAACCGAGGCTCATGCCGAGAGCGCAAATGGTCTTAGGTTGCCGTGGGCTA